TGTGTGTGTGTGTGTGTGTGTGTGTGTGTGTGTGTGTGTGTGTGTGTGTGTGTGTTAAATGTGTTTGATTCCATTATATTTATATCAAACTGATGAATATCGTCAAATAATTCTTCGTTAAAATTATAGACATCATATGATCTTCCTAATCGTTGATTTAAAATTATTAGTACATTTTCTGTTTCACAAACCAACGATATCTGATTAATATGTTTGTTTACAATCATTACTTATTTAATAACTTATTTAAGCTATTCTTAATTTTACAAGACACATTTTACGTCTGTTTTATGGAAATCAACGTTTTGACAATATCATCACAACTTCTAGTTGTAAAAATAAAATGGCAAACTATAATGTTATTAAAAAATGAACAGCGCGACATACAATGTATTTTTAAATTATAGTTAATGCACAGATACGAAATAATATATCGTTTAAATTTTGTTCAAAAATAGAAATTGTATACAATTAGTAGCAACTTACTGATACGCATACTAGTTAATTAATCAGTTCTTGAATATTAATGAGTTAAGACATTTGTCAGTTTTTGTCCAAAAATGATACATATAGAATTTACAAAACATATTTTGATAGATACAGTATTTATAATAAATTATTGCAAGTAAATCCATCATATACTACCGCTCAAAAGTTTGAAGTATTTCATAATTTTTAGATATCAACCACGATATCAATTATATTATAGTATTTAAAAAGTAAAATTTATTTTTAAACGTATATTATTACAATAATTTAGGATACAGATAATATAAATTTTAGTATATTTACAATCTTTATAAATAAGTTAAATTTTCTTTCGAAATTCAAAAATGCACCAAAATTCTCAGCAATAACATATATATTATAAATAATAATAATAAATTATTAACCATCCCCCCAAATTTATATTATTTAAAACAGCACGAAAACATCAACATTTGTCAGATTTAACATCAAATTTACTATTATAATATAATAATTTGTAGTAATCAACACGCGTAGTAAAAATTTAATAGCTTGTGTTCCAGTTTTAATTTAGCATTATGGCAGAAGGACCAAATGGGGATTCCTACAGAACTGAAAGCGTTCCTTATATAACAATTCCTGTGAACCCACCGACTCTCTCAGAAATCGCAGAAGGTATGTGTTCATACAATGTTTATTTAATTAATCAAACACATCATATTTCATGCATGTGTACACGAATAGTTCTGCAAAATGGAATGCAACCCTTGTACCAACAACTGAACGTCGACATAGCTAGCTGTCCTTGTCTAACTAAAGCACCATATAATCTTGCCGGAGTAGGTAAGAAATCACAACAAAGCTAATTTTTCATTAAATGGAATTTCTCACAAAAATGAATAATTTATACAGGATTAGGTGGCAACACGACAATAATAGAATTCCTTCATATGAATGATAATGTACCGTGGAATCATAGAACACGGGATATTCGAGAAATACTCACAAGCAGCTGCCGTGATTCCTTTGTCATCGGATCTTCTTACGCTACAAAACCACACATGCCTCATTACGGACATGTACGTGTCATCAATATTTTCACATTTGTATGCCCATGTGGATAATATTACTATAATAATAAAAAATTATGATAATATATCACTGCTACATAACTAACAATTTAAATAAATATCAATCTATGATAATTTACAGATCATATCATTAAATCATCGATATTTTACCGCTGTTTTGTGGTTATATTCTACTGATTTAAGCTATTCAACTTACTGTATTGAGTTTCAATTATGCTTTTATTATACACACGATTCCAATGATACTGTTACTGTTTCTCATAAACCGGATTACTGTTGTAGCTCATTATGAATGCAACGTACAGAGCACCTATGGATCTTAAGAACGAGAGTCGCCTTATTTTCGCAGAAAGGCGTAACGGACAAACAACAATAGAAAAGTTAACTGATCCTGACCAAATGAAAGCCATCCAGGGCAGTATGTTTGTCAGCGAGGGGAGGGCGGGCCTTGTTATCAGAGTGCGTGCCAAAGGTCGAAAAACTATTAACACAGATATCATAACTTCAATGCAAACGATTCTTTACGAAAGATATAAAAGGAATGAAAATAAATTTGTTGGTAATTATTAGTGTGGCGTTAAAAAAGAAGTTAAAAAAGAACATGTAAAAACAATTACATAATTTTTTATGTCTTATCTCAAAGCTTTAGGTGGTGTTCTAAAAATGAAATACGGAAATGTGGCGTGTAATCTTATGTGGGATGATTATCAGGAGCCTGTGTTACCATTTTACGAATTTATTAAAAGACAGCCATGCACCGAGATACATCTAGAGTCAGATATGGTAGCCGTTGGCACAATAATTAACAATGAGCCAAAGCTATGGACTCAGGAACAGCGTTATGATGTTGTAAGTATTTGTCCCGGTTATGGGGACACTAAAAATCATTGTTCTTGAAGTTATCATATTATATTATTTACCATAGATAAATTTCATTAGAAATTTAATTGTTTATTAATTAATTAAAATAATTACTATTGTCAATCCGTTTCTGTGAAATTTAAATCTGTGATTACTAAGTTGAGTTAAAATAGAGGAACTTTTCGCAATCATTTAATCATTGAACGCAACAGTTTTGTTTAAATCCGAAAATTTATCTCAAACATCCCAATGATATTCTTTAATTATTCGTTTTTTAGAATTTGTACACTACATATGCGTTCCATTGTTTCTCTGATGATGGAGTAGGAGGACAATTTGTTAGTGATACTACACCGGATACGACGGAATATGAAGGTTACTTCAATGTAGCGGAGAATATTCTATACCCTTATAAATTATAATCATAATTTCAATACATTTTTTATAATTAAAGGCCATTTTAATATTGAACTAGGTCATTATGTACTCTAATATAAAACAGAAATTTGTGTAATGTTATCTAACACATTATTGTGACGAGGGTGTCATATCAGATTACAATACTTTATAAGCCTCCTTTGACGTATTTTTTAATTAATGATTTTAATTAATTTGTATAGTTGTTAATATTCGAGAAACGTTTTAATAATTAAACTCTTTGGATTTAAAAATGTAGAATCTCGCTACATTTCCTTGAAATAAAAATCGATAAAATAACTGTATTTATAATTTATTATACATAGCATAAATTCATAATTCAGTTACTTTAATTAAACATAATTTGAATTCTAATATTTTTTGAAATAAATAGAATTCTGAAAAATAATTACATGAAAAATTCATTGTCAAGACTAAATTTAAACTTAACGGAATTCATAAATCGCTAAAATTTTCTGGATAAAATTTATATAAAAGATGTTTCTTCGAAATTTTAATATATCTTTCAAAATTTTTTTAGCCTTAACTAAATATTATATTAACAATTGTAACTATTTATATCAGATGTATTATAATGATTTTAATTTGTTTGTCTGTCTGCTTGTACTTTAAATTATCTACAATAATCCAACTTTATTGGGAGATACAACTTCTAAGCGTTACTTTCATCGTTAATTTTTATATTAACAATTTGATAATAGCGTTCCATTCTTTATAAACATTGATAACTAACTCAGTGCTAAGATTGTACTAAAGTTAAGAAAGTAATTTAAAAAAAAAACTTGTTTCCATTATATGTTATGATTACCGAAAAATATTTACTCATGAAACTAATAAGTAATTTAAATAACTAATAAGTAATTTAAATAACGCATCGACAAATTTTGTTTTAAAAGTAACAAATAAAGATAATTAGTTACAAATAAAGTTAATTTTTAATAATGACTTACAACCCGTTAGAAATAACATTTAAATTTTCTAAACTTCTTCTTATTATTACCGATAAAAAATTCTCAATATCTTTATCAGTTGTTATAATAACTAAATAATGATAAAAGCTAAAATGTCAATTTTTCATTTACGATTCCTCCATGTATTATAACTGTATAATGTTAATTTCACGTTCTTATCATATGTGACTCACACGAATTTATTCAGTTATATGTATTAATCTGAAATAAATTAAATTAAAAAGTCATTTTTATTTCTTGTTAGCAAAATCTTTTATAAAATGTATATACAGTTCGTGTAACTACCTACAATACATGCATAATCTTACAATAACTCGGGCATTCATAATTTTCTAATAAATT